GCTTGAACCCAGGAGGCAGAGGTTGCAGTGAGCCGAGATTGCGACGCTGCACTCCAGCCTGGGCAACAGAGTAAGACTCTGTCTCCAAAAAATACAATTTTTTTTTTAAAAAAAGGATTCTCCAGACATATTATTCTCTTTTCTTCCCACTTGTGGTTGGGAAGACCACAGACTTCCCTGAGGTCTGTGACATTTGCCATGCCCAGGTTTGAGGCTCCAGCCCAGCCTGTTCCCCTCTCCCTCTACACAGCTCCATGTTCTATGATGAGGATGGGGATCTGGCTCACGAGTTCTATGAGGAGACAATCGTCACTAAGAACGGGCAGAAGCGGGCCAAGCTGAGGCGAGTGCATAAGAATCTGATTCCTCAGGTGAGGGGCTGGACAGTGGTCACAGAGCCTACACTAAGCGTGTGAAGGCAGACCCAGATGGGATCTGTTGTCGTGGTGGAGGCTCTTGGGGCGGGAGGGATCTGGGAGGAACAAGAAAGCTTCCTGAAGTAGAGGCTGTAACCTGACCCTCACTAGCTTCTGTTTCTATGGCAGGGCATCGTGAAGCTGGATCCCCCCCGCATCCACGTGGATTTTCCTGTGATCCTCTATGAGGTGTGAGCCTGGGAGGTGGCAGACAGAAGCACCCCCTGCCCCAGCAAGAAACTCCCAGGCTCGAGGTGTGGCTTCCATTGAGGAGCCCCAGGCTGGGACCACAACCCTGAATAAACTCCGTTGGCCCATAACCTTCAGCTGTGAGCGGGTCAGTCCCACAGTATTGGTTGGGTGTTGGTTTGTTGACAAGAGGTGGTTGGTGGCTGGTGAAGGCTAATGGCAGAGTTAGTACCCCACTCTCCCCAGCCACCCCTGCAAGAAGCATGGCAGGGCATATACCAGTCAGGAATGCCCAGTACCTGATTCCTTGCCTGGTCTGCTTTCCAAGTTTGCCTGGGGCCTAGCCCTGCTAGAGGCTACAGCACTTTACAAGCAAGGTCTGCCTTCTTCCAGCCCCTAGGCTGTGGGCACTGTCCTTTCCTTCACTTCCCTTTTGACCCCCTAGTCAGAGCATTTCAGCCATTTGCTACCTCGATTCCTCCTGTGTTGGACAGAGGCTGGGGGCAGTGCCAGCCTGATTCTTCCCACCTACCTGCCATTTGTTCCCGCCTTCAGATGGATGGACAGTTTGCTGGCTATTGATAGGAGCGGGGACCAGATGGGGGCTTCTCCCTCTACCCAGGGCTGGGCTGATCCCCCCACTGCAACTAGTTGCCCCCCACACACACCCCCACTTGAGGAGTTGAGAGAGTGCAGGCCGGGGTCAGGACAGGCTGCGGATGCTTGTGCCTATGGGGAGTTACTCCAGCCCACCTATTCTGTCTAATCCCCCATGCCTTTGCATCAAGTCCTCCACACCCCCCCAATTGGAGGGGACTGTTCACCACCTTGTGGTAAGGGACAACACCCTAAGGCTGGTGCCAGTAGTTATGAGTAGCCTACCACCCCTTCCCTTATAGTAACCATCCCCGCCCCCTTCAGGATGAGTCAGGGGAAAGTACTGGAGCCCCTGAGTAGGGAAAGAAAGGAGGGAAAACCATAAAAGGAATGCTTATAATGTGAAGGTTTGTAAATAGTCCATGATGATGTCGTGGAAAAGTCTGATTTCTATATAGAGGTGACTTTTTTTTTTAAATACTGTGCAAGCACTGTGCTTCTAGAGTGTGGGAAATGGCTTGGGGAGGGTGGCCCCCAGCCTAGGAAGACTGTTGTGTTCTTTGTTCAATTTCAATAAAATGATTTGTAGATCCTGCACTTGAGAGTGGCATCCTATGGGTCTGTGACACCCAGCGTCTAGACTACTACCTGGGATCAATAGGTAGGCCTGGCCCAAGACTCTAGCAGGCCTCCTAAGGCCAAGCAAAGCCCAGGGGTAAGCCTGAGCCCAGCCTGTGGCCATCCCAGCTGTGGCCAGCAGGTGGCTGTGTGTTCACACAGACCTCACTGCAGGCCCCCTCCAGATTGGGCTGGGAGAACACTCACTTATCTGTTGTGTTCAATGTGGTGGTGACCCTTGGAATCAGAAAGCCCTGGGATACTTCACTAAGGAGTGGCCCCACCTGCCTGACCTAAGGTGAGAGAGTATGACCCCAGACAGTTCTAGAATATCTGTCCTAGCTGCAGCATTGCCAGCTGACCCTAAGTGGGGTCATGGCCTGAGCCCCATGGACCTCAAAGGCCCAGCTTTAATGGACATCACTCAGATAGGTGTTCCCACACCCTTGGCCTACTTTCAGGCTTGGCACCCCAAACTCAAGTGCCTCCTCTGAGGCCTGCCTGTGGACACCATGGGAGAATGAGCTCAGGCTTCTGTTTCCGCAAGCAAGGCTCAGCCCACCAGTATTGCCCTTGCTCTCTGTCGCCTCCATCTTCTCACCACCTGCAGCCTGCCCACTGTGGTCATTCTGCCTGCACTTCTCAGGGACTGCTATGAGGCAGATTCTCTGCTAGGCTTAGCCTTTGACTCTCAGCCCAACTACCAGTTAGAGAGGGGAGAGTTCAGGGACAGGCTTCTGAGTGTAGGGAGCTGGCCTTCCAGGCTTTGAACTTGTCAAGCCCAGAGCAGGATCACCATATCCAGCCTGGACTTGCAGTTCCGTGGTGTGTAGGGCTGAGGGCCCCACAGGGTCGTGGGGTGAGCCTTATGCTGTGTTCAGGTGCAGGATCCGAGAAATAAAGACAGGACACAGAAGTACAAAGAAAATGCAGCTGGGCTCGGGGGGCCATGCCACCTATGAGTGGAGTCAGGCGAGGCCCCGAATGTCCAGAAGCATGAGTATTTATTGTGTATAGGTTAGGGGGCAGGGCAGTGAGTGAAATCATCTTTAAGGATAGTGATAGGGTCGTGAGCAATAAAACATGGGGTCCACCCCCATTAGGTCACCTAGGCCAGGAGGTGGACAGTGCACAGCAAGGGGCCTGTTCCCATGAACGCAAGGGCCATGTGCAGTAAGGGTTTCACCCGCATTAGGTCACCGAGGCTTGAAGGTGGGCCGTGAAGAGGGTGGGCAGTGAAGAGGGTGCAGTGTGCAATACTTCTATCTATGGGCAAACTACTTCTAAGAAGATTTATAGGAGGATGCTTTAAGTCCCATAGCAGTGACAGCTGTCAAGGTTACCGCCACCTTCTGGCAGCTTCCAATGGGTTCTATGGGAAGATGCTTTTCAAGCAGCACAGTAGCAAGAGCTGATAAAGTTCACAGTCACCAAGGTGGATTGCCGGTCTGAGGGCATCCTTCCACAAGAACTGGAGCAAGTTCCTACAACTCCTTTATCAGGAGGAGTGGCTTTCGCCCCAAGCCTGCCATACAGCAGGTATCTTTACGATACTGAACGCTGCCACCTGGGCCATAGATTCTTGTCCTGGTATAACTGTTTTCCCTTAAATCATGCTCTGCACTGTGTCTGCTCTAGGTGTTCCTCCAATTATCACTGCTTATTCCTTAATTCATGCTCTGTACTGTGTCCACTCTAGGCATTCCTCCGATTATGAACTAAGATATAATTATAGGTATATATGTAGGGAAATATTCTTTAGGCACTCATACTAGCAACTATTTTATGATTATATATAGAGGATTATATAAAGGGATTCTTCAAGCCCTAATTCTATAAACTAATATATGATTATAAAAGGAAACAGCTGAGTAGTAACACTATAAATTGAGATATTCCTCAGGCCCTAACTGTGCCAGAGTTCTGCTTAGCTCTCATTCCTCAGTGCCTATATGGGGGGTTACCCACAGTGGGGTTCCTCCCTATATCCCCCATAGGAAGCCAAATGAGGTCCTGTCATCCTCCATGGTCCCCCTCTACTGGCTGTTCAAAGCCCAGGGCTCTCCCATCCCAGATAGCATCCTATCTCCTACCACCACTGTCCCAGCCTGGGGGAACTCCCTGTGCTGGGCCTGCCCAGCTGACCCCAAAGCTGGAAACAATGGAGGTCAGGCAGCACTTCCCCACTCTCTCCCGCTGGGCTGTGCTCATTTCCTTCCTGCTGACTGCCTGAGGAAGTGTCCCTGCCCTGGGACAGTCTGGCCTAGCCTTTGTTTCCCCAGGGGTCCCCACCCATGGTGCTTCCAAGGCCTCTGACCCCTGTGAAGCCAGCACAGTGGCACAGGGACACTGCACCTTCCCCTACCATGTCTTGGACTCCTTGGTCCTCAGGGCCAGACTCCAGGGTATTCACCTACCCCTCACACAGGCTTCTCTTGAGGGAGAGGCTCCTGGACATTGGGCCATTGGGTTGCTGAGGGGTTGGCTCTGGGTGATTTGAGGGTAGGCTGACTTGGCTTCACCCCTTGAGAGGTCTGCTGGAACCTTCCTGCAGTCCTCCCTAGGGCCAGCCACAGGAACATCCCTCCTAGAGGAATATACCCCTTTCCTCATCCATGTTGTAAGGAGCCCCCTACTCTGGGTAACAGATTCTGAAATCCACCCAGGAATGTCTTCCAGCACGAAAGCACTCTGGAGAACCCTCCCAGCCCCTGTCCCCTCCTCCCCAACCCACACAGTCACACTCACCAACACATTGTCCTCTCTGTCACATGGGATGCTTCTGCTCTCAATGGAAAAAAAACAAATGGAGTCAGCTACTGGAAGTTCCCCGGACCCTCCCCCTAGGGCTAGCTCCCTTCTTTGGCACCTGCTCTCAGGGACCATCAGCTGAACACCACCCAAGTATTTTGAATCACAAAAGCACCACCACCTGACCCATCCTCTCACATCCTACTGGATTTGAGGATGGACCCCAACCCTAGGGGAGCAGTGAAGAAGTTCCTTACTGTTGGAAGCTGTGGGTGTGGGGGATCCTGATCCTGAGCCCATAGCCTTCCTGTCACCTGGCGCAGCTGGCAGGGACCAGATCCTACTCAGGAGAAGGGTGGGGAGGGCAGCCAGCCAGCAGGCATTCCGGAGGGAAACAGGGTCAAGGCGATCTCCTCCCCCACGCCTGTTCTGGCCCTTTCCTCAGGGGGCAGCAGGAAGTGAGGAGAAAGGGCTGGGATGGGAGGCGGGAGCGGATGGGAGGGAATGGGGTTTATCAAGTCCTCCGCGGGCTGCCCAACGGGCAGCAGCTGGCGCAAGTAGCCTAGCTGGAGAGGCTCACCCCAGGAAGGAGGGAGGCCGCCGACCTACTGGGCCGACGGACTCCCACACAGGTGAGCCAGTGCAGACGACTGGTCTGCACCCCCACAGATGCGCTCGCAGCAGCGCTCCCTGCCTCTCCTGGCTCCTGGGAGGGTTAGGGGCTGGTCGGGCAGACGCGGGCCCTATGGGGAACTGAGTTTCCCACAAGGGAGCGGACCTAGGAAGGGCCGAGGTGGTCTCGCACGGGGCTCGCCAGGGTCCAGCTCTAAGCCTGCTCCCCACCGGAAGGGGCCTGTGGAGCGTAGAGGGCTCTGGAAACGGGGTGGAGGCTCTGAGAGAACCCTCTTGTTGGCTCTCTCGGAGGTCCAGCCAGAAACTGCTGCAAGGTGTGGCAGCTTCCTCGGGGTTGAGAGGGAGCCAGGCTCCCAAAGGACCCCAGAGCCTGGGCAGAAAAGAACAGAATCTCAGGGATGACTGGCCCGCCCTGATGAGAGTCAAGGAGGGGGGTGCCCAACCCCCTACACCCCTCTGAGCTTCCCTGTCCCAGCCCCGCCGGCCACGCCGCTACCCATAATCGGGGTGCCAGGACAATGACTGCCTCGGCCCTGCCCTGGCGGGCTGAGAAGCGGTGTTTGGCCCCTTCCCTCAGTCTGGCAGGGGGCGGGGCCTCCCTTTACACAGCGGATCAGAGAAGGGGGCCCCTGATTCGTGGGAGGTGGGGCATTACTGAGACCAGAGGTCGCCTCAGGTCAAAGTCCCTTTTACCACACAAAGGGGCCCCACAGCTGGCGTCTACGTTCGGGGGTGCAGAGCCAGATCTGTGCTGCCCCCCGCCAACCTCGGAGTACCACAGCACCTCCTGATGGCCGAGCGGGGCAACACCTCCTCCTGTTCCCCTCCCCATCGCCTACCCCGTCCCTCATACTGTCCCTTTAAGGGGCTGGCGGTGCCGCGGAACGGGCGGGACTGTACCACCGGCCTCGTGCTGCAAGGGGGAACATTTCAGGCTGACTGGCGCTTGTGATTGAGACTCCCGCAGAAAGCCCTGCTCAGAGGGTCCTTAGGATCCCAGATGGGTGGCAAGTTCCTCTGCAGAGGAGCTGGGGCTCTTCGAGCCCGAAACGCGGCACTGGCACCGAAAAAGGCGGAACACACCTTCCCGCCCCGGCCGCAAGTCCAGTCCCGGGCCCACCTCCACCCTGGAGTCTTAAAGGGCCCGCGGGCCTGGGGGCGGAACCAGCAGGGGCGCTGAGCCGGGGCCGCGCCTGGGCGAACGGCCGGAGCGGGCTGAGCTGGGCCCGGGATGGCGGTGGCCCTGGCGCGGGTCCCGGTCGCGCCCCGCGCGAGGTGAGGGCGGGCGGTGCAAACCTGGCGGCTCTCTCTCTTTGGGCTGGGGTCTGAATCCCCGGGGGTGCTCGCGGAGAGGCGGCCCAGAAACCCTACCCCAACCCGGCCGGGCGCAGGCCCCACGTGCGGGGCGGGGGCGGGGTCCCGCACAAAGGCCAGGGGGAGCGCGCTCTAGCCCTGAGCGGCTGGGCGGGGGAGGCGGGCGCGCGCGCATTCCCTGTGGCGGTGGAGGGAAGGGCTGGTCTGCGGGCGCAGCCGTGGGAGGCCTGCTGCCCTTTTGTCCCCGCGGAGCCTCCTCCAAGCCGGGAGAGTGTCAGCAC